AATAATTTAGCTTTAACAAATCCTCTTCAAAGTTGTATTTGATTTTATTGAACAATATCAAAGGTAAAAATAAAAAAATCTTAAAAAAAAAAAAAAATAAATGAAATAAAACAAAATAAAAGCTAATTTTTTCTTTCATTAAACATTTGTTACGTAGATACGTTAAAAAAAAAATACATTTCTATGGATCGATACATTATTGATTTGTAGGAAAGAAAAGCTTGAAAGAGTTTAATAAGGGAAGAGAGTGGCCGCAGAAACGAGTTTCGATGAAATCTCCGAGTTTCAATGTTATGGGAGCACTCATGCGATACGCAGACCGCGCATTGTCCACGTCAATTAATCTCCGTGGTAATTACACTGCTATGTCCACGAATGTGAATACTAAATTACAACGCTGATGATTTGATGAAAGGCCAGCTGACCTGTTTTTCTTTCTCTCTACCCTCTACTAGCTAAGCTTTACTTTTTCGTCTCGAAATTCGAATGCAGAGACCATTGAATGAAGATGTCATAATAATAATAATAATAATGTGAAATGTATTTTAATTCATTTATTCCCCCCTCCTCCTTTTTAATATAAAAACTTGTTTTCCTTTAATACAGAATTTTTATTATCCAAAATAAGAGATAAAAGATTGTTCGGATATGAGAATTTTCTGATAATGGAACACAGACTTTTCTTAGACAAATATATTTCTATATTTTGAGGAAAATAATGTTTATTTACAATAAAATTAGGATAATAATAAGAAAAAAAAATGTTTTCATTATGAAAATTAGACATTCTATTTTTTTAGCTATTAAATTTTTTAATATTCAAATAATGTGCATTTTGCAAATAATATTCAATTTTATCCTTCTTAATGCCAATATAAATTTCCAATATTAAATAAAAAAAAAAAAAAAAACTTTTGCCTAATTTTATAGCACTCCGTCGTTTTCTTAAATTTCTTAAATATTTTCAGTTTCGTTTCAACGATTAATACTGAATAAACGTTTTACGTTTCGATGTACTCTAGATATATACTTGCGAATGTGATTTTAAAATTAAATTCTATTTCCATTGCATGATGAGAAAAGGTAAGATAATCTATTTATATTATAACTATAGATACTGCATAGTTTGGATAATAGAATTCGGATTCGATTAATTTTAAACGTTCAAATATTAATATTTGAATAATGGGAGTTTTAAAATTATATTTCTTTGTATAATTTGAATTCTAATGAAAGTTGAATTAAAAACAATTTAAAAAATATCTTAGAACTTATTCTTTTATAAATCTGACCATAAATATGAAGTTTTTAATTATTTAAATTTTCATTCGATATCCATTTTCTGAGAATTAAAATAAATCGTGTGTTTATAATATTTCAAGTATCAAAGCTTTATAATATTATTTGCATATGTAGAGATGGATATCATCTATTCGAAATGTTTCTCCTTAATTCTAGTTTAAAAGTCGATCTCTACCTTTCTGTTGACATAAACAACAAATATTGAATTTCATTTTTTTTTTTTTTGCTGAAGAGAATTTGGTCACAACTTTGTCACGGAAGTGCATATTATTGAAAGTTGATTTAAACACAAATAATTTAAACACAAATATTTCACAGAAAATAATTTAAAAGCTTAAATGCTTTTATAAATTATCCTTTTATATGATAAATATTATTCATATCATTTTTAGATACAATAAAGATTTTTGTTAGAACAAAAAACATGTTTTTTTTATTTATAATAACAATTCAGGAATAAAAAAAATTATAATACAAGAGTAATATTTTCCAAAAATCAGATATTTAAATTAAAGAAATGCATTATGTTCATATTTTCTATTATATTATTTCCAAATTGTAACAGAAATAATATCAAACAATAATTGTGTAATAACAAAATAGTTAATTAAATCAGATTATTATATAAATATACCCATTATTATAATAATAACATATATAATAATTTCCTATATAAGAATAAATAATAATCGCACATAATATAAGAATATCAAAAATATCAAAAATATACGTATGAGCAATAAATGAAAAATTATACAAATTATATAACCAAATATACTGCCAAAAAAATAGCAAGTTTTAATAAGATTGTTTTATGATTATGATTGATGAAAAAAAATACTGATTTATGCATTTCTCTCCAATCAATACACGTAAAAAATAACAAAGCACAGCTATTAAAGAATATTACTTGTATTATTTCTTGCAGCTTTTAATAAAATTATAAGACCAAGTTTTCTCATTATTGAAAAATGTCTAACGTTCTATCGAAGATTCATGTTGAGTCATCGAATTAATGATGTTGGCAACTATTTGTCATGTGCAAGATATGTCACAAGGCTTATCGCATGATGGAAACACGCATAAATTACACATATCATCTATATGTGAGCTGTAACCAAATTCCAGATTTCGTCTCTTGTATCAGTGAGATACAATACGGTTTCTATCGAATTCAATTTATAATAGCAAGTGTTCTTGAAAATTAAATATCGCAATCTATATTTGTGCGTATAGTATTCTTTCCGAATATTTTTTTTTTATTTTCAATTCTTGATTTTTATATTGGAAAATTAAATCGTAAACCTAAGCTAATTATTTAATCTTTTGAAGGATAAATACTAATCATACTAATCATATATTTTAATTCTAAAATTAAAAATTTTTCGAACAATACGTTAATCATTTTAGTTTCTCTATAATCCAATTGAGGGAAATTTTTATTAAATTGATGTTTAATTTTCAACTATGCAAAGGATTTGTTAAAGAATTCTAAAATCGTATATTTATCTCGAATATTAATTTGAAATTTGGCTTAATTAATACCAATTATTTGCGTCACGACATATGTTATATATTATATACATATATCTATTTCTATCTACGTGTATATAAAACTATCTGCAAAATGTATCTGACAAATTAATGAACATCGATCACTAAAAATTATTCCAATTCCATATGGAAACTTACTGGCAAGCAAAAATGCTATTTCGTTAAAATAATAAATAAAGAATCATTTAAAAAATAAAATATATCAAATATTCTCATTATACATTAACTACTAATAATTTTCGTGACAAATTGATTTAAAATCCAATTCAAATGAGCAATGAGATTTCATTGCAATTTCACAGATATGCAATTCAGCATATTTTATATCTTCCAATAGATCACGATTATACTTATTTCATTATTAAAAATATTAGATCAATGTAAAAATGGCAATGATATCATTAATTTAACTTGGATCAAAAACAAAATAATAATTAATAATGAGAAATTGTGTAGTACATACGCTATCGTGAACGATGTTTCTTAAACCGTGTATAATCACATTTACAATTTAAAATCACATTTTAAACAATTTATGTAGAAAAGGAACAAAATTTTTTTTTAATTTTAATTTTTCACCAACACGTCACACGTGTAATCGCGCGACAATGAAAATAATTTTTCTCGAATTCCATGTGTTTCTCATGTAGAACGTTTCAAGTCGAATTAGAAATTCCACATGCACGAAAATCAGACTTCTTCGGCAACTAACATCGATTCATTTTGTTTTTTTTTTTTTTTTTTTTCATAACACCATGCGCATCTTCAATTTCGCTTTTCGCTTTGTCCAGATTATTAAACTCGCTATTCCTTCATCATTGATGAAAAAAATCTCGAGAAGCGATCAATTTTCTTGCTTCTTTTCTGTCTAAATCGTTTGAATAATTTGAACGATTTCGTACAATCCCATCGATCTTTCATTCAAATTTTTTTTCTTTTTATATATAATAATATGCAAGAACTAAGTTTTCAAACAAGTTAGGTGTTAATTCTCGAAATTGAAATTTCGAGGAATAGAAGACACACTATTCGAAACTAAGTTAGAGAACTTCTCCGAGAAATGTGTTCCCCGTGTTTTACGATGGCTCGTATTATTTTCGCGCGAGAATCATTTAAAAACAGAACGAACGTTCCTTTAATGTGAAAAGACAATGTTACACAATTGTTCGATACACCTGCGCTTCCACAACTTCCATTTCTCATCGAGGCAATATAATATCGCTTCAACGAAATCGATCCTATAACTTATTGCTTCTCCATTTCTCTCCTATCTCCTATTCCATTCTTCTATTTTCCCATCTAAAATATGGCAGTGTAACAGAATGCTTTTAAAGCAACTGGCCAACAATCCTACTATGAAGTGGAAGATGTTCTAGAGTTTGTTTTCTCTCTTTCTTTTTCTTTCGTTTCTTCTTCTTCTTTCACTTCTTCTTCTTCTTTATTCAATTCATCTCTCTTATTGGTTACATAAGCAAACTTGGTAAAGAGTAACAACAATTCATTTTGAGATTTTTGTATATTCGTTTTTTGATGTTACTTGTTTATTTTAAAATTGGTACGTTTTTTTTTATTTTAACAATGTGAACAATGATATATTTGTTTGGGTGATGCATAATTTTGTTAAAGTCAATAATTCAGTGCAAATTTGATAAACTATGTCTGAGAATTAATTGTGGTTATCGATATTATTTTTTTATTTCTTTAAATATTGTCTCATTATATACTTTTTTTATTTAAATGTTCACTTTTAAATACTTATAGTATATATATGTATATATTGTTCTTTATATTTTTCTGTATGAATTAACATTTATAAACTGTCGAAGCTTTCAGAAAGCTTTTAGAAACTTTTAAAGCTGTATCTATAATATTGTTTTTAATAAATTCTTTAACGATTTTTATAAAACACTTTTTTATTTATTTGCAATACTATTATTTCAATATTTTTAGATAGAAATTAGTCATCATAGTATTAATATTTAAAAACAATACTTTTCTTTCACTTTTAATAATCACAAAATTAATGCATAAAAAAACTTATATTACATATTTTTTTGAAATCAACATTTATCGATTTCTTTAATAAAATATTTGCATTATAAATTATAACATAATTTTTCAATAGAAACAAGATTAAGGATTTTTTTTTATAAACTTATACTTCAAAAAATACTTTAGATAGTTATTTCCTAGGCTTTCAAAAGGCCGTCGAGATATCTCTACCATTGTCTGATGGAACTTGTGCCGAGCCACTAAACTGGAACTAATTCTTTTTCAACAGAAGAATCGACCTCTCGAAGATTCACGCCACCATCTTCCCTCTGTTTACAGGCGATAGCCGAAACACGTGGAAAGAATAGCGTCCTCTTCCATCCTATTGAAAAGGCGTCATCCCTCTTTCTTCTTTTTTCCTTCCAGTTCACCTCCGAGCCACGATATACTCCACAATCGGGTGCACAGGTAATGACTATGATTTTACGCAACACCTCTTTCTCGATATTTTCTGAGCCAACGATAAAATCAAGGGTTGGAGACAGCTCTTCAACGACAGAGTTATCTTAATATCGGTCGAAATTTCCATTGATATTCTTCTTGTGATTCAGTGATAATCTCGAAAGAAGTATTTATGAATCATTATAAAATTTTCACAGAGAAGAATCAATATCTCTAAAGATATTGTAATCTAATAAAATTATTTGAAAGTATTCAATAGAAAGATAGTAACAGCACAATTGCTGATATTTCTGCGGCATAGAAATTTCTTAAGAAGAACAGCATATCTCGATGGAATATCTTCATAGAAATAGTTCCGTATTGCAGACTATCAGTAGCTTGTCACTTTCCGCCTCTCGATTATGCGGTATATCGATTGCATAAGCAATCACGTATCTAGAGTATGTTCCGCATCCGAAGCAGCATATAATTTTATTGGCGTTTCTTCGAGGTCGATAAAAAATATCGACGAAACGGTTCTTCGAGCCTTCGTTGATCAACGTTCGATCATTCAAAGCCGTTTCTAACTAGTAGAAATCGCGTTTCGAGACCAGAACAAATTCTCTTCGCGTTTTCATCGGCTTACAATTTGTTCCCTCTTCCAGGAAAATCTTTCACCAAGCCTTTGCCATTTCTATATCTTCCCAAAGATTCTTCTTCTTCTTCTTTCTTCTCCAACGATTAATTTACCTTCTTTCTTGAACATTTGCACAACACTGTACACGAGACGCTCGTTCCAATAAAGCTTCTCTCTTTTAACGAGACAAAATGAAGTACTCGTTGTATAACGAAATGCCAGGGCTTCGTTTGTCGATTTTCTTTAATATCCCAGTATCTCACGGTTTATTTTGAGTACGTCGTTTCGTTCTATTGTCGGTGATTTCCTTAAACGAGAATACTATGTGTTGTATCATTATCCGCGACTAAAGTATCGCGCAGTTTGTAATCTTTAGAATATACGAATCGATTCGATTGTTTTCAAGTCTACTCTTCTGTATGATCATTGATTTTGTGCAAAGTTGCGAACATTTAATAGACTTTTTTGGTAAAAAAGTTTGGTCGAATCTTCTTGTTTATTAATAATAGTCATTTAAGTATAGATAAAAGCACGATTTTCCGTTTCATTGTTTCGATGTTCATTTTCAAACATCAGATCTTTGAAACACAGAAAATTGAAATTAGGGAAATAATTCGAATAAATTTTCGAATTATCGTGTGATGTGCGATTTCTTTTTGATTCCCCGCAGCTTCGTCGCTATTTCGTGCTAATTGGGTTCCTTGACGTGTCCGATCCTCAGAAACATAATATTCGTTAGAAAAATCCGTGTTATCTCTACAATATTCCAACAGCTCGTTTCATCGTTTGTTTTGAAAACAGAAATGGCAACTAGTCGACTAGTCGAGGATACACTTTTTGTCGATAAATTCGCATTTCTTTCTTCTTTGTATTTCTCCATTTCCTTTTTCTGGTGGGTTATGATTATTATCGGAAGGAAAGAATTTAATCTTTAACTTCGAGGTTAAACCCGTTTCAAGAAAGCAAAACACTTTTTCGTGCTATTAACAATTGAACACTTGGCGACACTTTAAAAAATTCCATTTTTACGTTCCATCACGATTTATATTTTTTGTTTCCTTCCTAGTGCCACTATTGTTCTGATAACGAAGTTCAAAATAGAATTCAACATTCTCGAATTCGTTCATTCGATGCTTCTCTCTGATAAAAATGTATCCACGCTTTCTTCTTCTTCTCTCTCTCTCTCTCTCTCTCTCTCTCTCTCTCTCTCT